AGTCTACACAAAAGAATGAAAACCCAAAGATAAGACCAGAGTAGGAAGCTTCTGTACCTTTTAGACAAAGAAACAACAATAAACTTGCAGAGAATTGGCCAGTCGGAAGGGTTTGGGCTAGGAGTCCTAAATGGTGAAAAAGTACCTCAGAAGGTAAGATTTAGCTTAACAAGGTTTACACAGATTTCTTGGCCCCAAATTTCCAGTCTGATGGTGGGAATGCCTTCCTTCCTCCTGGTGTAGGGAGGGTACTTTTCACATGGGAGTTTTATGACCTGTTTCAAGGAAGAAGGGAGAAAAGGTGGGGGAGGTCAGACAGAGTGAACTTCCTGCTTCTGTTGTTTCCTCAAACTCCTTCAGCTTAAGATATTAATAGGCCAAAATGCCATATATTGGAGCAGCATGACTTGAACCCCATGAACTTCTTGGTTGCTATCGTTGCCTCTGTGGAGTGTCATTTTCTGCCAGCATTCTGTGGGTCATTATCTTTGGAAAACAAATCTTGGCCAAACAGGAGCACTTGAAATAATAGATAATGTTTTGATTATATTGTTCACTTTTCAAATCATTTTTATATGCATTCTATCCTTTAATTTTTGAACTAGCCCTAGGTGCTATAACCATCTGCATCATCTACACTTTATAGAAAGTTAAACTGTGACTCAGAGAGAGTCTTATCCCACTTTATTTTGAGACTACTTTAATTGTGCAATTGTGTCCTCTCATTAGAGTGTAATCTATATATGTATACATATGTATGTATTATGCTATGGTTGCAACTTCTGCCAATGAGAAAATTCTCCACTTATCCTTTCAGCAAACTGCTTAAGGCTACATTTGGTAAATAAGGAACTCAGTCTTTCAAAAACATCCTTCTTCCTTTTTCAAAGATGGCTTTGATGAGTAGGTAATATTTTTTACAAAGTATAAAAGAAATCTACAGCAAAAATAGCTATTTATTTCATCCTATGAGGAGGCAAAACTCTATTATAATCAATATGAGAAACATAATTTAAAAGAGCTTTCATCCTATGTGAAGCTGCCAATGAGATCACTAATATCAAATAGGAAAACAAAACATAATTGTTCTTTCTTTCTTTCTTTCATTTTTAAAATACTGTTTTTCTGATTTTCCATAATTATCATGTATAAATGTTCAGTTTAGTTCAGTTCAGTTGCTCAGTCATGTTCGTTTCTGTGACCCCATGGACCGCAGCACGCCAGGGCTCCCTGTCCATCACCAACTCCCGGAGTCCACCCAAACTCATGTCCATCGAGTCGGTGATGCCATCCAGCCATCTCATCCTCTGTCGTCCCCTTCTCCTCCTGCCTTCAATCTTTCACAGTATCAGGGTCTTTTCCAATGAGTCAGCTCTTCGCATCAGGTGGCCAAAGTATTGGAGTTTCAGCTTCAGCATCAGTCCTTCCAATGAACACCCAGGACTGATCTCCTTTAGGATGAACTGGTTGGATCTCCTTGCAGTCCAAGGGACTCTCAAGAGTCTTCTCCAACACCACAGTTCAAAAGCATCAATTTTTCAGCGCCCAGCTTTCTTCACAGTCCAACTCTCACATCCATACAGGACCACTGGAAAAACCATAGCCTTGACTAAACGGACCTTTGTTGGCAAAGCAATGTCTCTGCTTTTTAATATGCTGTCTAGGTTGGTCATAACTTTCCTTCCAAGGAGTAAGCGTCTTTTAATTTCATGGTTGAAGTCACCATCTGCAGTGATTTTGGACCCCAAAAGAAAATAAAAGCTTGCCCCGGTTCCATTGTTTCCCCAACTAATTGCCATGAAGTGATGAGACTGGATGCCATGATCTTAGTTTTCTGAATGTTGAGCTTTAAGCCAACTTTTTCACTTTCCTTTTTCACGTTCATCAAGAGGTTCTTTAGTTCTTCTTCACTTTCTGCCATAGGGTGGTGTCATCTGCATATCTGGGGTTATTGATATCAATGTTACATTCACCAAATAATCCTAAACAAAGAAATATAATTTGAGATAACTTTTGTTCCAAAAATCACAGGTTTTTTCTTCTCATTTTTAATGATCTCAGCTTTTGAATTTATCAACTGGCTTCTCTATGTTTTTGTTTGGCCATCCTACTCTCACTTGAAATCAACATTTTTAAAACTAAATTAAATTTTCTCCCTAACCAAACTACATTTATTGGCATCCCAATTTCTGTCTCTTTTTCATTCAAGTCCCAAACTTTGGAATTTTTTTCAGCCCATCTCTAGCTACTCATTGCCTCTTTAACGTCTTTCCATCCAGTGCATGCCTTTGTCAACACGACTTGATGTTTTCTCCACATGGAATTCTTCTTTGGGGCTCACTCACTTCTGGTTAGGCCACCCTTGTTATAAGAAGTTTCCAAAATAATTTATTGACTCATGTCATTTCCTTGCCCAAAAGCTAGTTCTATGGATTGTTGGAAAAAGGGCTATTCCAGGTCTACATGCTAAGTTGCTTCAGTCATGTCTGACTCTTTGCGACCCCGTGATCTATAACCCACCAGGTTCTTCTGTCCATGGGATTCTCCAGGCAAGAATACTGGAGTGGATAGCCATTCCCTTCTCCAGGGAATCTTCCAAACCCAGGGAAAAAATTCACATCTCCTGCATTGGCAGGTGGATTCTTTACCACTAGTGCCACCTTCCAGATCTAGGAATACCTCGTGCCAGAAAGCAAGGATGGGCTCAAGAATGACAGGGATCGACTTAAAGGGCTGTTCCCACTGGTCATATTTGGGCCATTTGTGCACCTAAAATAATAATTATGAGTTATAACACCATGAATTAGAAAATCTATGAGTCCACAATTAAGCAGAAAGAGAGAGGCAGAGAAGAGAAATAAGAAATAGAAGTTCTTCTGTGTAGAAAAATGATAACTTACAAGTGTATGAAAAATGATAGAGTTAGAAAGCAGCATTGGGTTTCCCTGGTGGCTCAGATGATAAAGAAACTGTCTGCAATGCGGGAGACCTCAGTTCGATTCCTGGGTTGGGAAGGTCCCCCGGAGGAGGGCATGGCAACCCACTCCAGGATTCTTGCCTGGAAAATCCCCATGGACAGAGAAGCCTGGCGGGCTATAGTCCATGGGGTCGCAAAGAGTCAGACACAACTGGGTGACAAAGCACAGCACATAACACAACCACTGATTATGATAATTGGCCATCAGTGAGTATGAGGGTCAGTAGATGCCAAATCCATCCATTGAAATGTCTTTTGGGAACAAGATATGACAGTATCTAAGTACTAGCTTGCAAATTACTTCCTAATTGCAAAGTAGAAAATATCCATTTATAGATCCAAAGGACACCACTTTAACCAAGAGATCAAATTTAGCATCATCAGTAGCAGTGAGAGGCCCATAATGAACACATACAGATCAAGTGTTCTTGCCAAAATGTGTCATCCAAGTCCAGTTGTGAGGAAACAATAAAAAAACCCCTAAATGTGAGACTTTCTACAAGAAAACTGGCTGGGACTCTTAAAAAATAGTTGAAAATCTTGAAAGAAAAAAAGTCAGTATGAATAGTATAGATTAAAGGAAATTAAAGAGATGTAACCTTGTGCATAAACCTTCATTGGCTCCTGTACAAAAAAGTGGAAACCAATTGCAGAGTAATAGAATATAATTATTCTTGGAAGATAAGTACTGGTGTTTAGGGATGAGATATCCCAATACCTGCAACCTATTTTCAAATGGTTAAGCAATAAAAATGTAATAAATGTATATTTAGATAAATAAATTGATGTGTGTATAGATGTACATATACCTACAGAGAAGGAGGGAGGAGGAGCAAGCAAGCACAAAATGGTAGAAGTCACAGGAGGTGAGTCTAAGTAAAGGGTAGGATACTTTCACCTTCTGTGTAAAGTTGAAAAATTTTTAATGAAAAGTTGTGGGAGGAGAGAAGCCACTTGCCCGGAAGGATGAAGTCTGATCTCCTTGACCCAGCATCCAAGGACATCTTTTGCCTGGATCTCCTGGGCCGCATTCACTTTATAAGCTGGGTCGTGTCCCGTCGACCCTGTTTTCCCAGTATCGGCACGATGCCCGTTTGGTCTTCACAGACTTCTCCCCTCCGCTCCTCTGCTGGAGTCCCTTCTTACTCTTTTTACTGGAGTGTAATTGCTTTACAAAGCTGTGTTGGCTTCTGCTACGCAATGAAGTGAATCAGCTGTGCGTGTGTGCATATGTCCCCTCCCCGGATATGTCGAGGCTCCCTCAGCACCCCACCCCACTCTCTAGGCCATCACAGAGTACCAAGCTGAGCTCCCTGTCCTTTATAGCATGTTCCCACTAGCTATCTATTTAATACGGGTAATATTACTCAGCCATAAAAGGGAACAAAATTAGGTCATTTGTAGAGATGTGGAATTCCCTTTTAGAGCAGACCAATCTACTTAATCTCACAACTTAGCTTGTATAGATCTATCAGTGAACATTGCTCATTCTTTCTACTCAAATGAAAACACTTTGCTCCCCATCAATCCATTCTCACTTGAGTATAAATATGACCATATAGGCTAGCACCTGCTATTTCCCTACATATTCCTATATGTGAAGATATTCAATTATGATCTTAAGAGAAATACAAGGATCTTAACTTTTGATTCTTAGAGAATCCACTCTACCTAGGAAATAACATCTTCAATAGAGGAGTATAGATTGATTGATACACATCCCTTTATTGTATTCATGTATGAGTTGATCATTATTTTGATATCAAACTTCCAGAAAAAAAGGAAGAAATTCAGTAAATTAACTAATTTTCTCTGTGACATGCCAAGGGAAAAAATCACTTAAAAGCTTATTTTTCAGATCAAGTGGGTTTGGATTAAATGTTTCTATTTTTCTGTGAACACTGGTATTGCACAGACTGCAATAGGCTTAGATGAGCAGGGGAAGGTTGCCTACCTGACCATTTGCTTACAGTATCCTCTTATCTCATTCTATGGCACTAACCTCCTTCTATGTTTAATTTAGACACTGCTGTCGATGATCTTTTCTGCTCTTGGAATTGCTTTCTCTGGATACTGCCTGGTCATATCTGCTCTGGGCCTTCTTCAAGGCCCATATTGCCGTACCCTTGATGGCTGGGAGTATGCCTTTGAAGGCACTGCAGGACGGTAAGGAATAATTCCCTGATTTGGGAGGATATCTGAAAGTCAGAAACACCTGACTTCATGCTCATACTCACTTTGCGTGATCCCTCTGTGGTTCTGTGTGTCTACCTTAGTCCAGAATTTTCTTAATAGCTTACTGATATTCTGAGCAATTTGTTCCTACATAGATCATTGTTTATATATCTCTTTTTTCCTCCAGTCTTTTAATGCCACATGCATGACAGCATGTTGAGTCTATCGTGAGCATTTCCAGATCAAAGACATGTTTCTGCTCTACTGAAGAACAGCTTCGTGGTCACTGTGGTCTGGCAATTGCTGGAGCTTTGGGGATCCAAGTTGCTCTGAGAAGTCAGTCTTATTTTGTGACCAAGGCACGCGGGAATGTAGACTCTTGCAGAGCCTTTGTACAATGGCTTGGCTGGGAGAGCATCACGGTGCCCTCGAACGGTGCCATTGGGGCTATTCCATCAGGAGCCACACAGAGACAGAACCAGGCAGGATGGGCAGCGAAGTGCGGTCTGAGATCCAAGCACACAGTAGGTGCAGGAGTTTGTGGAAGCAGCCAAGAGCTTCCTGGGTGTGTCCTCAAGAAGAGTCCGAGGGGGCGTCTTGCTCTGAAGGCTGGGAGCTCAGTCAGGCGCGGAGGGACCCAAGCCTGGATTACAGAATGCCTCACACTGGCATTGCACTGGACTCACGGGCCCTTCAGCTTGAGAAGAAGGGCCCAGACAGAGATATAGGAGAGATCCACTGAGTCTCTCCCTGTCTCATTCTGTGCTCAGAATTCTAACGGAATAAATGAGGGAGGGTCTGTACCTTTCCTTGGGGAAGTGACACTTTCTTCTCAGTTCCCCATGACTGGCTCTATCGTTCAGTCTCACCCATGGGACTGCCCTGGTGCTCCAGTGATTAAGAATCCACCTTCCAAGGCAGGAAGAGCCTTCCAGTGGCAAGAACTAAAGAGCCTCGTGATGAAAGAGGAGAGTGGAAAAAACTGGCTTAAAACTTAACAAAGGCAGGAGGAGAAGGGGATGACAGAGGATGAGATGGTTGGATGGCGTCACTGACTCAATGGACATGAGTTTGAACAAGCTCCAGGAGTTGGTGATGAACAGGGAGGCCTGGCGTGCTGCAGTCCATGGGGTCTCAAAGAGTCGGACACGACTGAGTGACTGAACTGAACTTTGAATGCAGGGGACATAGGTTGGATACCTGGTCTAGGAACTAAGATCCCACACGGGTACATGCTGGGTCGTGTCCGATTCTTTGTAATCTCATGGACTGTAGCCCACCAGGCTCCTCTGTCCGTGAGATTCTCCAGACGCGAATACTGGAGTGTGTTGCCATGCCCTTCTCCAGGGGATCTTCCTGACCCCGGGATCAAACCCAAGTTCCTTGCATCTCCTGCATTGGCAGGTAGATTAGTTACCTCTGAGCCACCTGGGAAGCCCAGGATCCCACATGCCCTGGGGCGACTAGCTGACCCACTACTGAGTTAATGCAGCCACAAGTGAAAGTAGAAACGCAAACATTTGAAAAAGGGAGACGAAGCTCGCATGCATTTCAGGTCTCACATAGTCACCTCATCCTGCTGGACAGAACAGCAGCCTCTGTGCCCACAGTTGCTTTTATTCCAAAGCTTCCACAAGGTGCCACATGCTGTGAGCAGAACTCTCCTTCAGGTCTGAGAACCTAGAAAATTATTTCAGGTTTCTTCTGAACACCTGGAGGAGACACTCCTTTGGGACTGAAGGGGCTCGGGAAAGCGGGCCTTAATGTAGAAAGTCCCAATGGGTACAAGGAGTCATTTTTTATACTGTCAAACCCTTAAAATTTTCCCACCACCAAACCAAATAAAGCTCCATTTTCAATGTGAAAGTTGCCCAAATCAGTTTTTTTTAAATATTTATTTTATGTATTTTTTGGTTGTGCCAGGCCTTAGTTGCCCCTTGCAGGATCTTTGATCTTCGTCGTGGCATGTGACATCACAACTGGGCCCCCTGAATCGGGAGCTCAGAGTCTTAGTCACAGGACCACCAGGGAAGTCCCCCCCACCCCAGACTGGCTATTCGTATGTACATTTATTCAACAAATATTTATTAAGCACCTACTATGTCCAGGCCTTGGATTAGGTGCTAGAGAATCAAAAATAAATCACACAGGTTCACTTCCCTCTAGAAGTTCACACAAACCTAAGAGAACATTCTGCTGAGATGACAGCCTTAGAACGTACATTTCCCTTGGAGCACAGGGCTTGTGAATCTGGGTTCAAGTCTCCCCATCTCCTACTTACAAACTGTATGGCCTTAGACAAATGTCTGGATATCTCCGTGACTCTGTAAACTGGAGGTAATAATCATTTCGCATAACTGAAAATTAAACAGAAGTGAACTTTCAGATGTTCAAACTGGTTTTAGAAAAGGCAGAAAAACCAGAGATCAAATTGCTAACATCTGCTGGATCATCAAAAAAGAAAGAGAGTTCCAGAAAAACATCTATTTCTGCTTTATTGACTATGCCAAAGCCTTTGACTGTGTGGATCACAATAAACTGTGGAAAATTCTGAAAGATATGGGAATACCAGACCACCTGACCTGCCTCTTGAGAAACCTGTATGCAGGTCAGGAAGCAACAGTTAGAACTGGACATGGAACAACAGACTGGTTCCAANCGAAGAGCTGACTCATTGGAAAAGACCCTGATGCTGGGAAAGACTGAGGGCAGGAGGAGAAGGGGACGACAGAGGATGAGATGGCTGGATGGCATCACTGACTCGATGGGCATGAGTTTGAGTAAACTCTGGGAGTTGCTGATCGACAGGGAGGCCTGGAATGCTGTGATTCATGGGGTCGCAAAGAGTCAGACACAACTGAGCGACTGAACTGAACTGAAAGCACAAATTGAATGTAATAATCTGTCAACATGCCAAATTTTATTATTAAAATCATGGCTTTGCATAACCGTCTTTACCATGTAATGTCTTCCATCTGCTAAGTGGTGGGCAGGTTCAGCCACTGGCATCCTGATCAGTGAGGATCCTGAATCAGTCCCATTCAACAGGCATTTGTTGATCTTTGCAATGTGCCAGGCACTGCCTTAGGCCTTAGATGTGCCTGTTCAGAGATGGATAAATCACTGCAGTGTTCTCACAGTACACTATTTAGTGAAGAACTAGATACACAGATATAACTGTGGATATATTTATAACATAATGAAGTAAATGCCGTGTTAAACTGTGTATAGAGACTGTGGAAAGAATAAACATCAAGGCGAACTTCTCTGTTGCTTCCCAGATCCTGCCAGTGTACTATTACTGCTAGTGTCTCATTCTATTTATACAAGGAAAATAAATAGAACCATCTCCTAGGATAAAAACAGAAATCTTGCAAGTCATCTTCCTTTAAGGTGTTGGATGATCTGTGCAAATGATAGACTGGGAACAGTCGAGAGAAAGGATCTTGAAGTCATTATCTTTCCTGGTACCTGAGACTGAACTAGGGTTAGGAGGGTGTGTGAAGCGGCTCTTGGGACATGATCACAGGAAATTACATCTGCATCATGCTTTATAGATTCCAAAGCATTTGTACATTCCTGTCATCAAATATTCACAATAACCCTAGGGTTAGGTATTTTACAAGCATTGGCCAGATCGAAGAGGTAAAGTCCCTAGCCCTAGATCCTACAGATTCAGAAGTTCTGAGTCCATATTCAGTACTGTTTACCACTTGAGACATCCGTTAGCAATATCAAGAAATTTTCAAGATTGCCTCTGAATGTCCCAGAACATTGGGAAAAGGAAACAAAGAAAGGGAAGGAGAGTTATGTGCCACTTGGCTGGCACCAAGGTTGCCTGAATGGCTGCTTTGGGAAAAATCATCTTGTTATTAACAAGATATTTACAAACAACTCTGGCCTGAAATTGATTGTTTTTCTTTGGAGGATTTTTTTTTTTTTTTTACTTTTTTGAGGCAATCAGTATTTATTTCAATTTAGTTCAACAAAGCGTGTCACATTTGGAGAAATGCTAATGGCCATAACTGACCTGGAAGTGGGCAAAAGTTAGTCAGGATAATTCAGCGTGGTTTTGAGATTATCTTAAAGTGAAGATGGTTTACTCCTCAGAATCCTGTGCTCAGCTAGACGAATCAAACTGTTGGGTCTTATGCATTTTCCCTTCCTAAGCTGAACCTTCTTAAAAGCTGCAGAACATACAGCGGACCCTGGGCCAGCAGCATCACCTGAGAACTCAGAAACACAAAGTCTCCAGTCCCATCCAGACCTTCTGAATCTGAAGTTATGGGCTGGGGCCCAGGAGTCCGCATTTTCACAAGCCTTCCAGATAATCGATGTATGCTCAACTTCACTCTTTTCCAGTGGCTCAGCAAAAACCTGCCTGTAATGCAGGAGACACAAGAGACTCGGGTTCAGTCCCTGGGTTGGAAAGATCCCCTGGAGAAGGAAATGGCATCCACTCCAGTATTCTTGCCTGGGAAATCCCATGGACAGAGGAGCCTGGCAGGATACAGTCCCTGGAGTCGTAAAGAGTCGGACACAACAGAGCACGCAGGCATGCATGCTCAAATTTTAGAACCACTGTTACAAAGGACTTTGGGACAGAGTATAGGAATAACTAGCATCCTTTCTCTTTGCTGTTTTACCACCTGTTATTTTATATCCACTGCTAGCTCAGCCCTGTTCCTGAGAGCCCGAGCTAACTTCAGGGTCCTAGGAAATGGTCAGTCTCTGCCTCTCTTGGTGTTGACATGTGTAGCTTCTCATTGCCGCTGAATTCTTCAGTATGCATCTTACCTCCTAAGTGAATTAAAATTGTCTGAGGCATGATCACCATAAACATAGTGCAGTGCTGTGCATACCCCATGTTCAATATTTATATTTGATAATTTGACAGATTAATTAATGTTGAATAACATTATGTTTTTAATCATACATATTAATTTCCCAAACATACAACAACTTGCAGCCTTCTTCCTTGGACCAAGTCTTTAGGCTTGGCCATGCATCATTTGACAAACGCCTTCTTCTCTCAGTTTCCTTACAGATTCCAGAGAATGGGTTCAGTGCCTGGAACCCGCGCATGTAGTGGAGTGGAACATCATCTTATTCTCTATTCTCATAGCTCTCAGCGGGCTTCAAGTGGTTGTCTGCCTCATCAGAGTGGTCATCCAGCTGTCCCAGGCCCTCTGTGGGACCTATTCAGTCATTATCCAGGTAACAGACCCCCACTGGCATCTGTGCTTCCTCCTTTCCCTCCACGGTCCAGGAGTCAATGTGTCTTGCTGAAAGACTTTTTGGAATTGCATCATTTTCCTTCCATTCCTACTGCCCCCATCTTTACTCAGCCTCTAATATCTCAGTTTTTTCTTATATTCCAGTCTGTCTGTTAGCTTGTCTAAATGGACTGAACCAAAGGAATAATTGTAAAATCATCTTCTGTGTTCCATGGTGAAAACAACACGTGTTTTGAATGAGCAACATTTCTATGTAGAAATAACTCAAAGCTCAAAGAAATCTGGCCATTCATTGAGAATGTCCCTGTTCATACAATTGTTGAAGGCTCACAACCTAATCCCAGTGAAGTAACTTCTCTTTTGTATGCTGCTACATTCAGCTATTCATAATAATCTTTCTTTATTATGGAGTTATTAGTGGTTTTGAGTGGTTTTGAAGAAGGGAAATATGTCTTTATCCTGTTGAAATGACAGTACTTCTGTTTCATCTGCTAAAATATTAATGTTAATTTAATTATGGTTGAAACTGCTAAAACCATTCAGCAAGTTCAGACTAAAGAGAAATCAAGAATGAGACATCCTGCATCTTGTTTAACAACATATAATAGTTAATACCTTTTCTAGTAGTTTCAAATAGATATTTTCTAGTTCTAACACGTTTAGAATGTAAACCATAAATTTAAGTTGCTTCTTGGATCATGGATCATTAATCAAGTCAAGTTTACTCACTTTGTTTTTCTTCATTTTTTATAGCCTGGAATCATTTGACAAGGACAAGAATGTTTTTCTTTATCAAGATATGGCCATCCACCTGTGTCTCCTGGATGGACTGGAGGGTCACATTCAGATGAAGGTTTCTCCCTCCGGATGGTGTTTGCTGTCCTCACCGCAATGCTGTCCTTTTAGAAATGTTTCCAAAGCTATGTGTGTCGGGGTCTTCAGAAATGTTCATATCTTTTTGATCAAATAAAATGAAATAAATCCAACTTCAATAAACTTCACTCTGAAAATAAGAATACAAGATAAAACTTAATGCAAACACATATATTTGAACATCACTTAATATTCTGGAAAATTAGAAATACCCAGAAATCGAACTTTATGGAAAAGATTAAATAAAGCATGGTACATTCTTTGTAGTATGATATAAAATGATGTTTTAAAGATAATGAGTACTGGGGCCTTCCCTGGTGGTCCAGTGGTTAAGACTCCAAGCTCCCAGTGCAGGGGGCAAGGGTTGGATGCCTGGTCAGAGAACTAGGATCCCACGCACTGCATAGGGCAGCCAAAAAATAAATAAATAAATAAAGATTGTGAGATGTACCAGTGAAAAAGCAGGTCACAAATTTATATTTGCAGTATAAGCATAGTTATCTAAAACAAACAAAACCAAACAATCAAAATATAGGTTAAAAACTAAATCTAGATGGATTTACACAGAAATGTCAGCTGTGGTTGATTTGGGTCACAGATGACCCTTCCTACTTTTCTATATATTCCATGTTTTCTTTATTACTTTTTACTATTCAAATACTTTTTAAAAAACATATTCTTACTGTAAAAATTTTGCTATTTTTCCAAACTTTAAAGGAATATGCTTTTTCCAAATGTTTTCCAACCCTGACTATCTGTAAACATCACAGAATAACACTTCAGTCAATGTTCAGTGGGGAAAGTGGTGAGATAGATTAGCCAAAAAAAGTTGTATATAAACTTATACAATCTAACTGAGCCCTTGGCCTTATTTTCTCGGTCCTGGTGGTGACTACGGTGGCCTGCAAGAGGCTGACTTGAAATGAATGAGCAGTTGAGGACACGCTCGGTGGTTTAGAGAAAGTGACCACTGACTAGTTGATACCTGTGTCATGGGAAGTCACCACTACTGTATTTATTTTTTTAAAGTTTTTTAAAAGGTAGAACACTTATGAGCTTTCTACCTATACTTGGTGTAACTTCCTGGAGGACGGCAGTCATGTCTTATGTTTTCCCATCATCCATAGGGCCTAGCACAAAGTGGGCATAGGAGATACTTGACGCTGGACAGTCATGCCAGGCTCTTCTGCTCTCTGGGGCTGCTCTATGGAGTATCTGTCTCCATTATGGGCCCACTGGGCCTTAGCGCTTCTGTCACTTCCCCACCGCCTTTCCCCATTGACACCGTCAATGCTCTACCAACACCTGCTCTAAGACAAAGCTGGGCGATAGTAACCAGCAGTCTGGAGAACGCCTCTTTCCTTGGCGCCTGTTGGACCTATTGTTCGTTGTTCAGTCACCCAGTCATGTCTGACTCTTTGAGACACCATGGAAATAGCTATAGCTCAACCTATAGCCTCTTTTAAAGAAGCTGCCCTGTCCACAGCCTTTGCTGAAGCTAGTGAGCATCCTAAAGCAAGCCATGTTGGATACACATGCTCCCCACGCCTGGGACCTAACTAGCAGAGCTGGGAGCAGCACCCGAGTCACAGGCAACCTATTGTTACTCCAGCAGCAGGTGATTTAGACTAAAGGCAAACACTGTCCAAATGAGATTGGTGGTTATTCTTCCTTGAAAATTTGAATTGCAAAACCAAAAATGAAGCAATGCAGACAATGCCGTCAGGAAAATAATTAAAGATGAGGAAGAAAGTCAACATCAGAGAGTTTCTCTGATTACTTTATCATGTCCATAAGCTCTCTATACCCAGCAGTCTTGTTTTTCAGGTCTCTGGAAGCCTCCTCTTGTAAGTGAACTTCTAGGAGGTCAGCACCCTGGGTTTTGTCAGTAAGACTCAGTCGTGTTTAGATTCAGTATGGTACCGCACATTGAGTGGGCCGTAAATCAATGTCACTGAACGGCTTCCCAATATTCCCAATTGGGAATATTCTCTAGCAACAAGAAAGAAGAAAGGAAGTAGAAAGTGTTTGTCGCTCAGTCGTGTCCAACCGTTTGTGACCCATGGACTGTAGCCCACCAGGCTCCTCTGTCCATGGGATTTTCCAGGCAAGAAGACTGGAGTGGGTTGTCATTTCCTTCTCTAGGAGATCTTCCTAACCCAGGGATCAAACCCATGTCTCNCTGCGGCTGGGGGGGAAGCTCCGCCCGCCGCGACCAGAGAAAGCCTGTGTGCAGTGACAGAGGCCCGGCGCAGCCAGAAATCAGTCAAAGAAAACAGACTGTAGTGGTCTCCTCCTATCTGCAGGAGATACACTCCAAGGCTCCCACCGGATGCCTGACACCGTGGGTAATACTGAACCCTATACATCCTACCTTCTTTTCCCACACCTATAAACCTATGGTAGTTTAATTTACAAATTACATACAGTAAACAAAAAAGCAGCAATATCTAATAATAAAGTAGAACAATTATAACAACATATTGTAATAAAGTTTGTGAATGTGATCTCTCTCAAAATATCTTATTGTACTGTGCTTATCTTTCTGCTGCTGCTGCTTATAATATGAGAAAATAAAATGACCCTGTGATGCGATAAGGTGAATGATGAAGGGATTGTGACACAGAGTTAGGCTACTATTGATCTTCTGCAGGAGGATCATCTGTTTCCAGTTATCTGGATCATTGAGCCATGATATCAATAATGATCAGATGCGGGGAGTGGATGATGTCAATGGTTGGGGATCTCGAGCAGGACGGAGTAGGACCACATAAGATTTCATCTCACTGCTCAGAAGGCATGCAATTTAAAGCGTATTTAATTACATTTTTGAATTTTCCATTTAATATTTTCAGACCTCAGTTGAAAATGCAGAAGGTGAAACCATGGGCAAGGGTGGGACTAGTTTATTCATTTTTATTTAAGTACTACTTTGGCTGCATCTCACAAGCTTTGAAATGTTGTCTCTAACTTGTTATTAAGTTATAAATATTTTCTAATTTTCTTTGTAATTTCTTTCTCAAGCTATGAATGTGCTTTAAAATTCCCAAATATATGAGTTTTTGTTATTTTTTGAGATTTCCACTTTATATGTATTTTGATCATAGAATGTGGCATATATGATTCTGATACTATGAACATTTTAAGGTTTGTTTTCTGGCTGAAATTTATAAGTGTTCTATATACTTAAATATTTTGTCTCCTTCAAATACTGTGTATCCATCAGGTAAGCTGCTAACTTTGTTGTTCATATCTTCATGTCTTTCCTTTTGTTTGCTTGATCTAGAGTTTCTATGAGGTATCAAATACTGGGTGTCCATCAGGTAAGCTGCTAATTTCGTTGTTCATATCTTCAATATCTTTCCTTTTGTTTGCTTGATCTAGAGTTTCTGTGAGGATTAAATGAGCATATATATGTGTGTGTGTGTCTGTGTGTAGTAACTTTATCTATTATATATGTATATTTATATTATATAACATATAAGATGTATTTATATACAAAATTATATCACAGATATATATATATAAAATGGGGTCTGACACATGGGTGAGATTTATAAGTGGCCTAAACATCGTGGATTAAAGATGTACTGTGGAGTCATATCGCTCAGATTCAAATCTGGGCTCTGCCTTATTTGCTGGGTGACCCTGGTCAAGTTTACTTAACCTCTCTGTGCGTCAGGTTCTGAATCTGTAAAACAGGAATAATAATAATAGAGTTGTTGCAAAGACTGAGTTAGTACATATAAAACTCTTAGAACCATGGTGACTTAACCCTGAATCCAAGTGCAGTCAGAGAAGATTTGAAAGGGTTGGACTTGGAAATGCCACAAATACAGCAGAAGGGACAGAGAGTAGAAGGAAGTCACAGTCATAGGAATAGCACAGGGTGTAAGGTTTGGGGAGAGAACGCAGTTAAGGTAAGAGGCATTGCTAGGCTAGACAGAGTGCAGGAGAGACCAGCTTTTACCACCCGCTCTGAGGCTGTGAACATAATGGCCATCAGGTTCCTAAAACCCCAGCCTCTGGCCAATACACTTCCATCTCACTGAAAAACTCTTAAGTTTAGTTCAGTTGCTCAGTCATGTCTGACTCTTTGTGACCCCAGGGACTGCAGCTTGCCAAGGCTTCCCTGTCCATCACCAACTCCCAGAGCTTGCTCGAACTCATATCCATCTAGTTGGCAATGCCATCCAACCATCTCATCCTCTGTCGTCCCCTTCTTCTCCGGCCTTCAATCTTTCCCAGCATCAGGGTCTTTTCCAATGAGTCAGTTCTAATCAGGTGGCTAAAGTATTCTAGTTTCAGCTTCAGCATGAGTCCGCCCAATGAATATTCAAGACTGATTTCCTTTAGGATGGACTGGTTTGATCTCCTTGCAGTCCAAGGTACTCTCAAGAGTTTTCTCCAACACCACAGCTCAAAAGCATCAATTCTTTGGTGCTCAGCTTTCTTTATGGTCCAACTCTCACACCCATACATGTGAGAGCTTATGGTGAACGATGTCAAATTTGTGATCTCCGAAGATTTAGCTTCGGGACCAGGGACCAGGCTTGATCAGTCAAGAGCTTTTGTGTAGCAGAGTTTTATTAAAGTGAAAAGGACAGAGAAAACTTCTGACACAGACATCAGAACGGGGATGGAGAGTGCCCCCTGCTAGTCTTGAGCTGGATGTTTTATGTCTGTTAGAAATCTATAAATCAGACAGGAGAGGTACCTCAAGGCTGACGGAGTTTCACCAGGCCGCTCTCCCACAATAGGCGTTTTTGAAATAGGACAGCATGAGGTTTGTCATCCCCCAGTGGTAAAACAATTGATATGAATACTGGTTCGTTGAGCTATTATCAGCCCAAGATTTGAGAAAAGTTAAGTTCTGGTGGGACCAGGTGTCGTCATGGTTCCATAGAACCATGAATTTTAAGAGAAACACAGAAAACACAGAATTTTAAGAGACACCTGCAGTTAACACGGTAGGTGTTGCGAGAGAGCATCAGAGGGCAGACGCACTGAAACCATAATCATAGAAAACTAGCCAATCTGATCACAGGACCACAGTCTTGTCTAACTCAGTGAAACTAAGTCATGCCGTATGGGGCCACCCAAGATGGTCGGGTCATGGTGGAGAGGTCTGACAGAATGTGCTCCACGGGAGAAGGGAATGGCAAACCACTTCAGTATTCTTGCCTTGAGAACGCCATGAACAGTATGAGAAGGTAAAATGATGGGATACTGAAAGATGAACTCCCCAGGTCAGTAGGTGCCCAAT